GGAAAAGAAAGAGATCAAAATGAGAAACAGTAACAGAAAAAAAAAAAAAAAAATCGATGGGACTTGGTAAAGGACTGGATGGAGGACAGAGAGGAAAGATGTCAGAATCTGAAAATAAATCAAGTAGAACCAGCAAAGTGTTTCTTGTATCCTTGGCAGTGGTTCTCAACCTTAGCAGCACATGATAACCACCTGGGAGCTTTAAGAAATACTGATGCCTAGGTCCCAACATCAGAGATTCTGATTTAAGGTGAAACCTGGGCATTAGAATTTCGAAATGCTCCCCAGGTGATTTTAATGTGCAGCCATGGTTAAGAACCACAAACACGGGCTCTTTCAATCTATTTGTTTTCACTTAGGAAAATGATTTTCAACCCTGGTTACACTTTAGAATTATTGGGGGATCTTTAAAAATGTATCCCTATCTAGACCCTGCCCTTAGAGATTCTAATTTAATTGGTACTATTTTAGAGTCTCACAGTTGATTGTAATGTGTAGACAGGGCTGAGGACACTCAATTGAAGCATTCAGTTTAAATGATGATTAACTATTTTTTTTCTCAAATAAATGTAAAATGAAGAGAGAATTCAGTGCTTACAGAATCCAAACCTTCTAGTTAGGTGAAACATAAACCAACCTATTTTCACTTGCTTGTTACAATTTCACAATAAATTTTGCTTGGTGTTATACACAATTTCTATTTTTTCAAAACCTCATTTTGAATCCAAACAAAAAAAATCAGCTGATTACCACTGCAACTGGATAACCATTTATGAAATAAGCGTTATTCAGGTGTGTAAAATATAACATGAAATAAATTGATTACAACCACAATTATACATCTTAGGATTCAGTAAGGTCCTCAGGAAAGAGGGGTAAAGAAATGACATGTCTAGGGACTTCCCTGGTGGCGCAGTGGTTAAGAATCTGCCTGCCAACGCAGGGGACATGGGTTTGAACCCTGGTCCAGGAAGATCCCACACGCCATGGAGCAACTAAGCCCATGTGCCACAACTACTGTGCCTGCGCTCTAGAGCCCATGAGCCACAACTACTGAGCCTGTGTGTCACAACTACTGAAGCCCACGAGCCTAGAGCCCGTGCTCCACAACAAGAGAAGCTACCTCATTGAGAAGCCCGTGCACCGCAACGAAGAGTAGCCCCCATTCAACGCAACTAGAGAAACCCCGTGTACAGCCACTAAGACCCAACGCAGCCATAAATAAATAAATACATAAATACATAAATTTATTAAATAAAAAGAAATGACATGTCTAAAATTTATTTCTAAGTCAAAGTAAAGTATCAGGAGTCAACCCTATTACTAAAGTCTAAATAAAAAACATCAAGCAGAACATTTAAGCACTTTATAGTTCACTTGTCACTACAGCATTATTTCGTAAGTGTGCAAAGTGAAAAATTGTTTTCAAAAAGAAAAATGTTTCTAAATGACCTTTTAGAATAGAATGGAAAATTGGCTTACCTCTTCCCTATGATTCTTAATTGGCATACAAAGAATACTTTGTGTCTTGTAGCCTGTAATTTGGTCAACTTCTGCATTGAACCGAGGATCCTAGTAAGGAAGAAGAAATTCAATTTAGTGACTGACCTGTTCAAAGATTGATTTGATTTTTCTGATTTATAGGATTAGAGAAGTCTAATCGTCGACTCACCTTGTTGTTCTGAATGACAATTTTATTTTTGTAAAAGGCATCAAAGCATACAAGTACATATCGTCTTTGACAAAGATAAATTTAAGGGTTTTTTAGCAGCTAGTATTTACGGAAAAAAATAAAGATGTAAACAAATGTTAAGAAATAAAGGAAATTCAAAATATTAACCAATTTAGACATAGCCTCACTTAAACTCAGGAAAAAGTGGCAACTCCCCTCCTCTGTGATACAATTTGCCTATTCCCATCGCACTGATTCTTCTGAAAAAGAAAAGCATCTTTGGTCTGAAACTTTTCCTATAAAACCCACCACCTCCAAAATGACCTTTTCAATACTGACTTGACTTCCCTTGTAATGACTGTATATATATATTTCCTCAGTATTCTGTATTTCTATCTCAGGTGTTTCATAAGAATTAAAATCTTATCTTTTCTTTCTTGTTGTATATAATAAAACTGCATGGCCTTCATCAGACTACAAACAATTCCTCAATCTTTTGAATCTCTTTCCCCTTTTACAAAGTACATCTTCCCAAATCCAATAATCACAAAGGACTGCTGAAAGGTGTAAAAGTTCTAAATGTGGGTTAAAGAAAGAAAGATACAGGCTATTTTCCATTAAACCAGATTGAGAAGATCAAAGGTAGGCTGTAAATTCTATGAGGGGCTTTTTTTGGTTCACCACACTGTATTCCCAAGATTAGCACAGGAACTCAAAAACGTTTGTTAAACAAATGAAGGAATTCATTAACAAATGATATCACAGTTATCCAACATGATCACTTTTAGCTTACTATAGTTTAAAGCAAATCTTATAGGCAGGAGGAAAAACATACTCAAGAAAATGGACACCGTCCAGTATATGAGATACAATTAGAACGGAAGCAAACATACCAGAACATAAACATCTGAATGAATATTGTTCCCTTCAAAGCAATAGCCTTGGGGACTTACATGCTCAACCTAATAATAGCATTATTGTTCTAAAAACTCTGCTTTTGGAATTCCCTTCAGAAAATATGGAATAGTCACACTGGAAAAATCCTCATCTTTGAAGGTCATTTCTTTTTCTTTCTTTTTTTTTTTTAATTAGTCTAAAGTCACGCAAAGCCAAAGCTGTGAATAAAGTAAATGATTACACTAGATTCCATCAACTAGGGTCAGAAATGAGGCCAATTTTCCCCATGAGAGGACCAAACATGGCATTAAAGGCAATTTCAAAAGAAAAGTTATAAAATGGTAGAAAATCAATGTAAATACTTTATATCATAAATATACACTACTGCATTTTTAGTTTTTCTGCAAACATGCTCAAAGTTATACTGAAAGACAGAGAAAACCTTGGCTCAATGTTTCCAAAAAACAGTTCTTAAATAGCATACTATATCGCAAGATATCTAAAGAAAGCAGACAGGATACTGACACGGACAAATTAAAAGAAGATAAAAATTATGAATTTATATAGTGAATTATTCTACATGCTAATTATCAAAATATGAATAGAAATGCATCCTCAGCAATTATTTTGTTAATGAATATCTGAATTACAACACCAATTTATAAAAAAGAGGATTAAACCCAACTATCTAATCAAAGCAAGAGTCTGAAATTAGTAGCACTTTCATAGAATTTTTTTGTGCATACTGGAAGTTTAAAATAAACAGCCCTGGATTTCATTCTTCATTGAAGGAGGTAGGAGTAATGTATACTTCAAAATCACTTTAAGTGAATTTTGGCATCTCAAAGAATTTTTCCTTTAATAATGTACCCAGTGCAGGGGCTATAATCACATAGAGAACTTCTAACCCCTCTAGGTCCAGTAAACATTGAAAGAAAAACGGAGCACTATTATTTCATTATTATTGTGATTATTTCTTTTACTGTTTATGAGAACATGACAGTGTAAAAAATCCACAAAGCTTAGATATCCATCTCCCATACTAAAACAACTAGTACCAGACTTGCCCTCCTGCTGAAAAATACAAGATTAGTCCAAATACATGCCATAACTAAACTACACACAGTGAAGAAGGGAATACACATGATCGCCTTGCACTAATCTGGTTCCTCCTGGGGGCAGGCAGGTGGTATCCTGGGGGCAGGCAGAGTAACAGTTCCAAATAGAACTGAATTCAGGGCTTCTAAAGTGGCTGGTATGTGCAAGGCAAAGTAGCTGATAAGAGAGGCTGTGCTTTGGGTGGGGTTAGGGGTGTAAAGGAGGAGTGGCAGAAGAGTGAGTGGCTAGTCACTTCACAGACATGTATTTGGCAAGACTCTAAGAGACCTAGCAAAGATTACCTGTGAAGGCTGAAAGTGAATGGTGATAACCAATTCTAAAAATGTTTGAAGACACTGGGGTTCTACCCACCAGAGGAGATACCTCACTAGGCACCTCAGGCATTCGGCTGAGACACAGAAAGGCCACTCCTTGGGGGGTAAGGACCTGAGCAGCATTCCCTAACACTAGATTTAAAACTAAAGGAGATCCATCCTAACAAATAATAACACCAAACCTGATAGGACCGAAAGGATCTTCCAGTAACTCCACTGTCTACAAGAACAAAGGTCAGCTCCAGACTTGCCCCCCTGCTGAAAAATACAAGATTAGACCAAATACATGCCATAACTAAACTACACACAGTGAAGAAGGGAATACACATGATCGCCTTGCACTAATCTGGTTCCTCCTGGGGGCAGGCAGGTGGTATCCTGGGGGCAGGCAGAGTAACAGTTCCAAATAGAACTGAATTCAGGGCTTCTAAAGTGGCTGGTATGTGCAAGGCAAAGTAGCTGATAAGAGAGGCTGTGCTTTGGGTGGGGTTAGGGGTGTAAAGGAGGAGTGGCAGAAGAGTGAGTGGCTAGTCACTTCACAGACATGTATTTGGCAAGACTCTAAGAGACCTAGCAAAGATTACCTGTGAAGGCTGAAAGTGAATGGTGATAACCAATTCTAAAAATGTTTGAAGACACTGGGGTTCTACCCACCAGAGGAGATACCTCACTAGGCACCTCAGGCATTCGGCTGAGACACAGAAAGGCCACTCCTTGGGGGGTAAGGACCTGAGCAGCATTCCCTAACACTAGATTTAAAACTAAAGGAGATCCATCCTAACAAATAATAACACCAAACCTGATAGGACCGAAAGGATCTTCCAGTAACTCCACTGTCTACAAGAACAAAGGTCAGCTCTGTTTTAAAGGAAGTTGATATAATCCAAAGGCCCTGCAACAAAACATTCGCAATGTCCAGCATACAATAAAAAAAAATCACAATGCATGTGAAGAAACAGGAAATTGAAACCCACAGTGAAGAAAAAAAGCAGTCAATAGAAAAAGACCCCAAGATGATTCAGATGTTGGAATTAACAAACAGGGACCTCGAAGCAGCTATTATAAATGTATTTAAGGACTGAAGAGAAAATATGGTAGTAATGAACAGATGGAAATCTCTGCAGAAAGAAAAAGTATTTTAAAAGAGCCAAATGTAAATTCTAGAACTGAAAAGTACAAAGTCTAAAACAAAGAGTTCACTGATGATTTTAACAGCAGATTGGAAACAATGGAAGGGTCAGTGAACCTGAAGACAGATGGGACAGAAAGTATCCAATCAAAAGGATTGAGAAGACAAAAAAAAAAACCTGTAAAAAGTTAACAGAGCCTCTGTGTTCTGTGGGACAACATCACATAGCCTAACATATATACAACTGGAGCCCAAAGAGAAGAGAATAGAGCAGAAAAAATATTTAAACACATGACCAAAAATTTCCCAAAGTTAGTGAAAACCTTAAATATATACACAGTGTGAAAATGATATATACTATGAAACATATAAGGTGAAAAATGAAGCCGAGCTGACTTCTCATAAGAAAAGTGAAAACCAGAAAAAAGTGGGAGAACTTTTTAAGTGTTGAAAGAAAACTACTATTAACTGAGAATCGTCTAGACAGTGAAAATATCTTTCAAGATTACAGGCAAAATAAAGCCATTTTCAGATAAACAAAATCAGAGAATTCATCACCACCAGACCAGTACTAAAGAAATGTTAATGAGAGTTCTTCAGCTTGAAGAGAAAGATAAGAGATTCTACAGAAAGGAGTAAAGAGCTTGGAACATGGCTTGAGCACATGCACAAATATATGAAGAATAAGGAAACGAATGCACAAAGATATTGCTATGATTTATGTCAACGAGTATACTGCCTATGTTTTCCTCTAGGAGTTTTATAGTATCTGGTCTTACATATAGGTCTTTAATCCATTTTGAGTTTATTTTTGTGTATGGTCTTAGAAAATGTTCTAATTTCATTCTTTTACATGTAGCTGTTCAGTTTTCCCAGCACCACTTATTGAAGAGACTGTCTTTTATCCATTGTATATTCTTGCCTCTTTTGTCGGAGATTTGTTGTGTGTGTGTGTGTGTGTGTGTGTGTGTGTGTGTGTGTGTGTGATGGAATATTACTCAGCCAGAAAAAAGAATGAAATGTCATTTGCAGCAACATGGATGGACCTACAGATTACCATACTAGGTGAAGTAAGCCAGACATAGAAAGACAAATATTATATGATATCACTTATGTGTGGAATCTAAAAAAGAAAAAAAAAGACATAAATGAACTTATTTACAAGACAGAAACAGTCCCTCAGACATAGAAAACAAACTTATGGAAAGGGGAGGGTAATAAATTAGGAGTTTGGGATTAACATATACACATTACTATATATAAAATAGATAATCAACAAGGACCTGCTGTGTAGCACAGGGAACTATATTCAATATTTTCTAATAATCTATAAGAGAAAAGAATCTGAGAAAGAACATATATATATTACATATATAATATATATAATATTATATTATATATATTAAGAAAAGAGGAAGAAAAAATATACCTTGAGGTGTTA